GAAGAAGAAAAGATTGTTGGCTTGGTTGAGAAGAAAGCTGCCAGCAAAGGGAATGTCCCCATGAAAAGGCCACCTGTCCTTCCAGGAAGGGTTAATACTGTTATCACCTCAGTAGAGAACAAGCTCAGCCAATGGTGACTGCACATGATATGGATCCCATGGAGCTGGCTGTCTTCCTCCTTGCCCTGTGTCCTAAGAAAGGAGTCCCCGACTGTATTATCAAGGTAGGATGGACAAACTGGGCTGTCCAGTCCACAGGGAGATCTGTACTACTATTGCCTTTGCACAGGTTAACTTGGAAGATGAAGGAGCTTTGGCTAAGCTGGTAGAAGTCATCAAGACCAATTTCAATGACAGATAGGAAGAGATCCCTCATCACTAAGAAGTCGACGTCCTTGGTCCAAAATGTGTGGCTTGCATTGCCAAGCTGTAAAAACCAGAGGCCAAAAAACTTGCCAATTAACTGAGTTAAATGTACACTGTAGAGTTTTCTGTACATAAAAATAATAAAAAATCACCTTAAAAAAGCCAAAAACAAAACAATGCTGGCATTTAGTGGGTGTTCAATAAATATTTGTTGCATGAATGAAAACATACCAAAAGTCCTACCACTGACTTCATCCTTGAAACAAAAGTTCAGGGCTTAATTTTTCCCTAGTTAAACTCTTCAAATCATGGCCAATCTCGCCAACTGTTGATCTGACCCGAGTTACTATTTCCTGAATGTGATGGGTCTACCAATCCTTTGCTTCAACCTTTGCTAAATTAGTATTCAATGAGTGTCTCACCAGTAACCTGATCAGAATTTGTCCTGGCTTCCCGTCTGTCTACTGACTAAAGTTCCAACTTCTATATTAGTATCCAAGCGCTTTGTACTTTGGCCAGAACATACTTCTCTGGTATGCTTCCCATTCTCTTCAGGACCTTGGAAATGTCTAATGCTGTTCTGCAAACACACAAACACATCTTGCTGCCACTCACCTCCAAGGTTTATTAAATCGTCTCTTCCCTCATGTAGTGGGTTGAAGAGTGTCCCCCATTAAACTTAAGTCTACCTGGAACCTCAAAATGAGACTTTATTGAAACATAGGGTCTTTGCAGATGCAATCAGTTAAGGCCACACTACATTAGGGCCCTAAATCCAATGACTGGTGTTTGTATAAGAAGAATGGAGGGCACAAAGGGCTACACACAGGGAAGAAGCCACATGAAGATGGAGACAAAGACGGGAGTGACACAGCTATAAGCCAAGTGGTGTCAAGGAATCCTGGGAGCCATCAAAAGTCAGAAAGAGGCAAAGAAGGATCCTTCTCTTGTGCCTTCAGAGGGAACACAGCCCTACTAACACCTTGATTTCAGATTTCTAGCTTCCAGAACCGACTGTGAGAGAATACATTTCCATTGTTTTAATACACACAGTTGGTGGTCACTTGTTATAGTAGCTCTTGGAAACTAATACACCCTGCCTTAAGGCTTCTCTGCCTGTTGAAATGTTGCCATGGCTCAGTTTGAAAGCCACCCCTCTCTACTACAAACACATACTTATCACTCACTGTCTTGTCTATACTATGAACATGCTCATCTCCTTGAGGAGAGTGGGTACTGGGTCTTATGTTCCCCATTTTGCCCCTCCAGCCCCTCTGATAATTCTGTCCTTGGAACAAGCAAATAATGAATGTTTGCTGAACATATGAGTAAACATCATACTCTTTTCACTATGGCCAACATAAGTACCTGATTAATTCACATTCAGATTTCTTCCCATGAGTGAAGTAGATTCTCTCTCTACTCAAATATATCCATTTATAAAGACCAAAAGCAATGGAAACTCTATTTTTGTCAGCAGTAGCTCTGTCTCTGGGCCAGTTCAAAAGTTGGTTTTCTTGCTTTTCATCCCACATACTTTAATTAACTAAGGCTTCAGAAAGATCTTGTACTTGGACCCGAGAGATCAAGGATGTTTATTCACGCACAGAGCAGGAAGAGGACAGGTGCAGAAAGAGCCACATCTTGTTGCTTTGAGATCAGCCCCAATTCAAAACTGCAAGGCAGACACCCAACCCTGTTTCTTGACTTGTCAAGGTCAGCTTCCCACTGAGCTGCCATTTTGAGTAGAGATGGACACCAAACCCAGGCTGGGACACAGATGGTAGGTACAGCTGTGCTGAAGCACTCCACTGCCTGTGGATCCGTGGTCTTCCCCTCTGACCTCCAGCCCCTCTGATAATTCTGTCCTTGGAACCAGCTACCACAGCTACTAGAACACTCAGCCAGGTGACACTACCTCTCCCAGGGGGAGAGAGTGATGCCTGGTGGTTGAAGGCAAGAGCTGTGGGTCAGACTAGGCTGGGTTCAGAGCCCAGATAGATTACTTAGTAGACATTGCATCTTCGTCAAGGTATTGGCCTTTCTGAATCCATTTATTTCTTCATCATGGGGGATAACAGCCATCCACCACATAGGGTTTTGTGAGAATTCTATAAAATGACATTTTGTAAAGTACTTAGTACATTACCTGCTACCTAGGTAAACAACCAGCAATAGTTACCATTGTTATTATTAATGTTGTCATTATTACTATTAATCCTCAAATGCTCATGTTCATTTCAGATGGATGTTTTCTGACCTTGATAAGGACTCTGAAAATGATCTTTACAAGTAAACAGAAGAGACCACAATTAACCAGTGAAAGGTAATGTGATGAGACATGGGATCAAAGGAATGGAACTGACTCATAGCTTCACTGCTTACCAGTTAGGTGACTCTGGGTAAATGATTCCAGCTCTCGTGGGCCCTGCAAAACTTACTATTGTATTTACGGTGGGCATAATATGCACTATACATTATACATCATTTCTTCAGGAGAACCCACTAGACAAATTCCTGTAGGTTTCAGTGTTTAGGATTCCTGAAAATTTCCTGAACAACATTTCAAAAAATGCCTAACAAGTTCTTGAAATCTGGTTGCTTCCATGGTTTTCTTTTCTACCACGGTAGGCAAGGAATCTTAGGGCCAAATCTGCAGCCCACTATGAACAAGTGCATGGCACCTCATGGTACCCATTGGGCATCCAAACTCCCAGGTAGCTTTTTAATACTTAGAGGTGAACTTTCCACTAGTTTTCCCTTATTTTGCATTTATTCCAATTACCTCATTTGTTTTTTAATCCTATAGTCCTGCACAGACGTCTTAAAGATATCTTAAAACCTTTGTGAAATGAAGTAGACAGCATTTCATTAAATTTAAAAAACGCAGTTTGTCTCAGTCTCCAGTTTCTCATGCATAAAATGGGAATACGAGTAATAGTATCCTTCACGATGCTGCTGGAAGATGAACTGACTGTGCGTGTAAGCGGCACTTTGTGGAGCGTAGAATGCTATGGGAGTATTTGCGGTCTTAGTGTTTAATCTCTCTTTGCTTCCCCCATTCTTGTGCTCTCAGCTCAGGGAGGGAAAGTCATTGAGCTTGTTAGGCATCAAAGCTTGGTTCCTGCCAGGCAGCAATATGGGAAAAGAAAGGAACCAACCACAGAAAGTGAAGACTCGCCGTGTCTGTTTGCTCGGCAGCAGCCCTACTGATGGCTCCTTACCAAGCTGTGATAGGGCACTGAGCCACTGAAACACATGGGCTGGAGGACCGGAAGCCAGGTGACTGAGGCAGAACACCAGGCGGGACCACTCGGGCCAAGAATTCCTGCCTAAATATTCCTACGCTCCTTCTCCCAGCTTGCAGGTGGACATCCTAGCCAGCAACGATCGTATGTCTCATTAGAGTGCAAGGGGGAGGAGGGAAATCTGCACGTGTTAAATGTCCAGCCTTCCACTGAGTTTGCACAGACATGGGTGAGTATGTCACAAATGTATTGGCCAAAGGCAATGGCTCAGGGGAAATGTGAGACGTGTTGCAAATGTCCCCCAAATCCTCAGCATTTCAGAGTGAGTGACATCTCAGCAAGACAAGAGATGACACTCATTGCTTTTGAGGCATATGTGACAAATATTGAAAGGCGTTCTAAGAGGCAAAGGAAGGAAGATAGGCGGGAAGAGGAAGAAAAGAAGGGATGGAGAGAAAGAATGAAGTAGATGGAAAGATTATAGAAACACCAATCAAAATTGCCCCTGAGCACTCCAGTAATCTTCTATCCACCTGTGGCTTGAATCTTTTCAGGACAAAGCAGATTTTACATAAACATATTTTTCCTTCCAGTGCAAAGGAAGCCTGGTGTTTAACTATGTTTTAATTGGCCAAGGGTAAATGCAACTCAAAGAAAGACCAAAGTGGACTTAAAAGAAGTATCACTGTTTATCAGCAGAAACCAACATTTATGGAACAGTCTTACTGCATCCATTACGAAAAACCACTGGACACTTTACCCATTATCTCATAGGTACAAACATCTCTTTTAATGGATGGAGAGGTTAAACACAGTAAGCTCTAAAACCAGAATTTAAATCCAAAGCCCATGAATTTTTCTAATTATTATTAGAATATATAATATAGACTATTAGAATGTGTAACATATATTATTTTAAAGAATTCTCTCTCCCTCCAACCATTTCAAGGGAAGTTCCACGTTCTGCTTTGGAAATCATTTTGGTCTTCTTCAAAGAATCTCTCACAACCAATAAGAGAGCTCTTCACATTTGCTTTTACCTACCCATTTGTTTTTTGTTCATTCCTTCTGTGCAGTCTACATAAGGCTGTGGGTGGCAGAGTTTTCAGAATGTACAAATCCCCCATGCTGGGAAGCCCTACAGAAGTGTTCACTGCAGAATCCATCACCTTTACCTCCCTCCAGGTGGAGGAAATACTCCCAGCAGGAAGGTGTTTTTACCCTGTTGGCTGTCACAGCGGTTATCACTGTGGTTTCTTGCTCGAAGAGAAGGTGAAGAACAAGGAACAGGTGCTACTGCCACTCTGAGAGAGCATCCCTAGAAGGCCATCCCTGCTACCTGCCCACCCTGCCCCGCATCCAAGAAAACCAAGTTACAAAGGCTACCTCGGTGCAGCACGATATGGTCGATCATGTTGCGCTTGTATTTGGTGTGATAGAGACAGAGAGGACAGCGAAGATCTTTGGGGCCCTCCTCAGGAACCGCCGAATGCCCAGCTTCCACATGCATAGTAAAAGCAGATCTAGGAGAGAGGTTGGGGAGAGAGGTGATACGTGTGACCAGGGATCATTGCATTTTCACATTTCCTGCTGGCAAACCTATTATATGTGCTGAAGTGTGGCTCTCCTGCTTGTGGGGCTAAAAAAAAAAAAAAATTTGTTAATCATGTTTATTGACCACTCAGAAACTTTGTCACTAAACTGGTATCTGAACACTGTCAAATGCTGGTAACTTCTTTTTGGAAACTGTACCACTTGGCTGGGTTCAGAGCTTAGTTTGAAAAGAAAAAAATTCTCCAAACACTTTATTCTTAGAAATTAAAAATTGTCTATTAAGAGTATGAAGACAAAATCCCAAACAAGGAACTATTTTTCATCATGTTTGGGAGAAGAGAGACTATTTTAAAGCTAGGTTGACTTACAAACTGCCTGTATAAATAAGTCGGGGAGGACAAGTTGTCCAGGATGTCAATCATCATGACTGATGGTTAGGTAAACTAAGAGTTGTACCAGCCTAAAAGTGGAATGGTACTGCTGCCTCTTCTTCCATCCTTTTCAAATTTTCAGAATTTGCAAAGCCTAAAATGGATAAAACCAAGACTTTAATGGGCAGGGACCCCTTCTTATGAACCCAAGTGCTGCTCTCTGGACAAAGTGTATGTCTGTCTGTTGGCCCTTGCTATCTGGGTCCTCTAGCTTTCTCTCAGTACCAAATAACACACGTATTTATCTGAAAAGTAATTGGAGCAAGTTAATAGAGATAGAACACATATTCCATATCAAATCCCAGCTACTATGATGCTGGTGGGAAAGAAACTTCTTCTAATTTGTCTTTTTCTTTGGACATGAAGCCTACTTTCCACAGCCCCTCTGTGTGAAGTATGTATTGAAGTAGTCTAAGGCTTAGATCCTAATTATAAGAGTAGAAACTAATAGCTTTATATCTAATGCTAGCTTTCTACCTATATTATTACACTTAGTAGTGTTTGCTTTGTGCCAGACACTATTCTAAGCACTTCAAGATACACTGGTTCATTTATTGCTCACAAGAGCCCTATGATGTAGGTACTAGTATTATCTTTATTTTATAGTAAGGAAATAGGGACACAGAGAGGCTTAGTGACTTGTCCAGAGTCACCCAGGTAGTCAGGCTCCACACTCTACACCTGTAACCACTAACCTAAACACTATCTCCCAGGATGAGATTCAATTGCAGAAATTTAGATGACATCATAGGAAGCATTCCATTCTTTAACTGAGTTCATCATTTCCGTCATCCACAGGAGCAAGGGTGACTTTTTCTAGATTGGAACAATCTCTCTAAGATTGTTCAAGTGTAGTCTTAGAAGTGCTGGGGTCTTGATTTTCTATGTATCTTTCAACACTATGATCTTAAGAATGAAAGAATTTTCTATCAGGGGAGCAGGGAAGACACTACTGCCGGATGTTTTCTCTTTTGACTTTGACTTTGCTTCCAAGAACATACTTTTTTTTCCCCCAAAGCTAAAAAAAGGAGAGGAGACAGTTCTCTGAAGGGAAACACCACTCCAAGCATGGGAGGAAATCATTTGCTTCAATCTCACACTGCTTTGGAGCCCATGTGCTCCAATTTTAAAACTCACTTGTTCTGATCTAGCTCTTCATCCCTTCCCAAATCCCAAAGCAGTCTTCTGAAACTAGCCCCCTTCCATGAAGCCTGGATCCAACCCCTACATCATCTGCATGGGCAGGGCCTCCCATAAGCTCCAAGTAGGAAAGTGTAAGGGAAGCCTGCAGTGAGGGGTGGAGCAGGGGCAGCCACCTTCTTTCCACAGCTGTTCATTACATCACTTACTTAAAGCCTGTGTAAAAGGAGCAGTCTTTGCACTTGAAAAGCTTCTTCCCACCATGCTTATCCCGGTAGTGGCGCCTGATGCTCTGGATGTAGCCGGAGGAGAATTCACAGAATTCGCAGTGAAGCACGGCTTCGGTTTTCTGCTCAGTGCCAGCAGCAGCCCCAGAAAGAGGCACAGGGCTAACACGGCTATTATTTCTTGCCAGGGCAGCTGACTGATAGTGGTTCAACTGCTGCTGAACATCTGGGGGCTCTGAATATGATGAGTCTGTGAAAAGATGGGGAAAATGACACAGGGCACAGAGACCAGAGTAGAGGTTCGATGCTTGAAATCCCCTGACATCAGGTTTCTTTTCTTCCTCCAGCTTTACTAAGGTACAACTGACAAATAGAAATTGTTTATATTTAAGGTGTGCAACATGATGACTTGATGTATGTATCCATTGTGAAATGATGACCACGATCAATTTCATGAACATATCCATCCCCTCACAGTTATCATTTGTAATGTGCAGGGAGCACACATAAGACCTACTCCCCAAGCAAATTTCAAGTAAACCACACAGTATTATAAATTACAGTCATCATGCTGCACACTGGATCCCCGGAACTTAATAATTTTGTAACTGAAAGTTTGCAATTCTTGACCAACATTAGTTTTTAGTTTTTTGTTGTTGTTTGTAAGAGGGATGATGATGATTCCATCTTTTATCTTCATTTTCCTTCTACAACACAGATCTGGGGAATGCATGTCAGGAGGAACTATCACCTCTTTTAATCTGACTTTGATGGCTCATGGTATTTAAAAATAAAATGTTGAGGTTAAAGGTTTTAAAGCATAGGAAGAAAGTAAACTGTTTGTTTGTTTTTAAACGAAATCGCAGCATGGCAACAGGTTGCTACAGAATACCCGTCTTTGTAGGTGAGATAAATAAACCCACCTAATGTACACAGGAGTCTACACAAGAAGGGAAAGGACATGATGCAGTATCTCCTCCTTTGCAGCCCAGATTTTTTCAAGCCAACCAAGTTTTTTAAAAAATTAGTCTTTAACAGAAATGCTCAAGTACAAGGCACTCACACAAATATAAAAATGTTTTATGCCTTCACACTCAAGTGATTTAAATTTTAAAATATAAAAATCCAATATCGTTCTCCTGGAATGGATGTTTAAAGCTTAGTCAGCATTAAGATGGAGATTTATTCATAAATCCCATTAAAATGAAATTCCAAACAAGTTTCCCTGAAAGGTATTTTAAAGTTTGCGATTCTGAGGAAAACGTCGGAAATGACAGGCACAAATCTTAACCCTGAGAAGCTTCAATGGTATGTGGTGGAGAAATGTGATCTAGGAGGGAGGAGGGGAAATCTCAGAGTTTCTTCTCTGAATTAAAAAAAGGAGAGAAAAGTAAAAAAATAAACAAATAAAAAGGTTACGGGAGAGAGAAAGTAAAAGGTCTTGAACCTTTTTCCAACATGCTGCTTTCAATGTGGAGGTTAGAAATTCAACAACATTGTCCTATATAACCTACAGCTGCCTATGAATGACACAAATGAAGTCCATGAATACCACACGGATGAATTTCAGTGTAACTTTCCTTGAAAAGAAAACAAAGGGCTCTTTTCTTAAGCCTTTCAAAAAGCAGGGGGAAAGGGGATAGAAACTGTACAAGCCTCCTCCTGATTTGATGGACACTTAATTTTCCAAAGCATAATTCCCTAAGGCAGGACATGGAGGAATTCTCTAAAACCCATATTTGATGAAACCAGCAACCATCCCATCAGCCTCTTCGAACAGGAAAACAAAAGCAGAGCAGCCTCCCTGATTGCTGGGCCACCGCCTGTCTGCAAAATACTCAAATATCTTCCCCTTCTTTTTCTTCTCCCCGCCTCCTCAATTCATATTCCTCAAGATTGAGAAGAAAACCCTTTGGAAATTGTTAACAAACCTGCCACACACACAAAAATAAAACAAAAGGAAACTTGAACAATCTCTCCAAGCCTCCATAGGTTCATTACCAGGTGTAAACGGAAGACAAAGGAAGAAAGGGAATGACAACTGAATTCATTTTACCCAGTTCTTTTATCTCCTTTTTCTTTATTCCTCTACCCTAGCTGATGAACCCACTCTGGATCACAATAATGCAATTGTCAACTTCTCATTCTTTCTTTCAATAGCAGGTTTGTTTACCATTTCATGGATTGTTTGAGATGTTTTCTATTTAAGCCCTCAAGTCTAGTTTCTGCTTGAAATATACGCACAATGAAGCACAAAACACACTCCACCTCTCTTGTTATCAGTCTTGAGCTGTATGTTGAGCACTGTCAGCCAGTATTCCCAGATAGCTTCCATCCTCTTGGTAATGTTGGTCCTAGTTTGCACTCTTAGCTCTGCCGAACAGAAGTTCTATAACAAACAAAGCCAAAGCCAGGTCCTGCTGGCCTGTAATCCGTCCATCATCCAGAAATCCACCCAGAGACCAAACCAAATATCCCAAGTCATGGTCTAGGTCCTAATAAGGAGTCACAGTCCCCTCCACAACAAGGCACATCCCTGGATCTCCCAGATTAGTATGGAGGCTGGCAGTCATCTCAGACACCAGGTACTTGACATCTTCAGTCCCTTTCTAGCAAAACTATAAAGAAATGAACAGCTCCCAGCCAGATGATGAGCCAGATGAATGCACCTCCCACACCTTCCATCCACCCCCAACTCAACACATGCACTAATCTGTCAGACAGACCCCCTTCAAGGACCCCAATCTCTTTTAGTTAACACATTTTTATCTTGTCTCTAGGGCCTACTGCATATTATTTCATCCACCTCAAAAAACAAATTCTAAATTTTAACTCTGGTATTTATACAGTACGGAAAACCTGAAGAAATAAAAATGCAAGAAGTCACGGAAAAAGCATTCCAAGAAACAGAGGCTCATCACCCTTCTCAAATGGCAGTGCAGAAGGAACAGCTGATGTGTCCATGTCATAAATTCCTTTCTTTTTTCCTCCTGGTGAAAATCAGATGGACAGGTTTATTGACAAAAATAAGCAAATCCCATCATTTATGATACATGTGGAATAATGCCCAGGTTACAACTTATTGGATTTTTCTTAGGGCTTTTCTTTCCTCTTTGCTGCCAACATTCTCAATTTTGCTCTCGCTCACGTGGAATTTGTGAATAATGTAGGATTTTAGCACTTTTGGCACTAAAGTGATAAAGACATGAGTGTGTATCATTCTACCAATCCTTAAAAAGCCCACTTGCTAAGCTACATAAAATTCCTGTTTGTTCATGAAGCATTGGCCTGAAGAGCAGGGAAGAGGTCATTTTGCGCCCAGGTTAGAAAGGCAAACAGACTGTTAGCTGTGAAGGGCACGTCACATAAGTTAAAAATCATCATTAAGACTATTTTCTTTCATTTTGAGCTTAAGGAAAGAAAGGTTAAAAATATCCCTGTGTTGGGAGACTCAGACTTCTGGTCATGGGGAAATGCAGCAGCTGAATCACATGGATGTGAATTCAGTGGGAAGTTCTGCAGCCAACTGCAGCTCATACAAATTACATCTTTATCACCTGTATGGCCAGTGGTATCTACAATGAAACCAACAGAAAAGACTAAAGTGGTCCACCTTAAAAGCAGGTCATGGCTTAGCATCATCATATACTGCCAACCAACCAACCCACCCACCCTGACACATGCAGTCTGAGAAAAGAGTTTTATTCTCTGACTTGTGACTTTAATTACATGCAAAGTTTTAGAAATGAAATTATAATGTATAATTATAGTTATAAAATAAATTTAATTAAGTTATATGGAGCTCTCTCCAGTTTGTAAGGTAGCATAAGAAATGAATTAAAATCAGGATCAAGCTAGAATTTTAGCACTGATGGTCAACGTGCCTATAGGATTTAGAATTCGTTCAGAAGCCAGCAATTAATTCTCAGATCTATGGTGTGTGGTCTAATTGGGTTTACATCTCAATTTTCCCAATGAGGTAGCTGAAGCTGAGGATGGTTGGTCACACAGATACAAAGAAGCAGGGGTAGGATTTGAACAAAGACCTGTCTGATTATAAAGTCTGAGTCTTGTGTCTTAGGCATCTGTACTCAATGGTGACCTCTAGGGTTCTCTGATACAAATCAGGGGAGCCAGAAAGAACATGAGAATTCTCTCAGCAATAAACACATAGTAGAAAGGAAAGGGAGAAAGTGATAGAAAGGTTGAAAGAGTTAAGAAAATAACATTAGTCATGCCTGTAATCCCAGCACTTTGGGAGGCCGAGGCAGGTGGATCACAAGGTCAAGGGATCGAGACCATCCTGGTCAACACGGTGAAACCCTGTCTCTACTAAAAATACAAAAAATTAGCTGGGCATGAATAATCCCAGCTACTCAGGAGGCTGAGGCAGGAGAATTGCCTGAACCCAGGAGGCGGAGGTTGCAGTGAGCCGAGATCACGCCATTGCACTCCAGCCTGGGTAACAAGAACGAGATTCCGTCTCAAAAAAAGAAAATAACATTAGAACAGATGCAAATGAAAACAACAGACAGAAAATAACATTAAAATGAATAGGGAAGAAAACACTAACATTTTGAAGCATTATGAAAAAAAAATAAAGCAAGACTCAAAGAAAAGAAAAAGATTATCTGAAATTTCAAAATGCTTATAAAAACAAAATAAAATAAGGGACCACACAGGAGACATTTCTAGAAGCGTGTTGTGAAGATAAGCCCTGCAAATACCCAGAACTGGAAACCTGTCTGTCTAAATGTCATGCTTTAGTTAGATGCTTGATGAATTGTCCTTAAATAATAACACTATAACATTTCTCAAGTGGGATTTGGCTGGGAAAAGAAAGATACACAAATGCAAATGAGAGATGGGTGCTTTTTCATGGCTCTTGAACAGCTCAGGATTTCAAACCAGGTAAGGGCTGAATTTGCAAGGGGACATCCTAACTCTCTCATTTTTCATGTTCCTGGAGAAACTGGAAATTTTTTGCTAATTCCAGCTCTCCAGAATAACAGTTTGAGTTGTTTCGATTTTCTTCCCTTTTTTCTCCAAAACTTAGCCAGCACAGAGACAATCACAAGAAATTTGACTTTATAAAGGCAAACGACAAATAAATTGACTATAAGCCCGAGAGAATGAGACTTTGAGTATTCACAGTTCCGATTCCACAACATTTAGTTAACATGATCCTAGTGCCAGGCTATGTGCTGGCTCTGGGGATTCAAAGTCATAGAGGCCTTCTCCATGTCTAGC